TGGAAATGCAAGCAACTGGATTGATGTCATCTGACTAGTAATAAGTTTTGTTTCATGTTTTTAAATACATGATATTGTATGTCATTATTGTGTTTCTAAAATTTTTTCTTGTATTGTGAGATCTGGGAAGCCATTATATCAGAAATGCCATTAGAAAAGTAACATTTCTTTTAATCTGGATGTTGTTAGGTTACAAACTGAGCTGTTAAAAGAATGTGGTAGGGGCAGCTAGGTGTGCAGTGGATAGAGCTCCAGCCTTGGAGTCAGGAGGACCTGAATTCACATCTGGCCCAGACACTTGATGCTTAACACTTACTAGCTGTGTGACCTGGGCAAGTCACTTAAACCTTGATTGCCTCATCAAAAAGAAAAAAGAAAAAAAATAATGTGGTAAAAATGAAAACTGTTAAATATTAATCGGTTATGCTTGTTTTAACATGTACAATAGTAAAGAGTGAGTTTTGTCTGAGATTATTTTCCTACCACTTACAAAAATTATGAAATTATATGTTAAAAATTGTATGTATTGAAGTTATATCTTTGAGCAACTTAGTAACAGTAGGTCTTAGATTCAAGATTTCATTTTGCCTTAAAGGTTAATAGGCAATATGAGTAGAATGTATTAGTCTGGAGGCTTACTGTGGCCAGAATTTTTCTGGGGTCTTGAGTCAACCATGATGTATTCAATGTATGTGTTAAATTCTAGAATGTGGTTATTCTTTATTTATAAATGAAATGTCCTTATATGTGTTCTTTGTTAACTGTTATGGAAACATGAGAAAAAATAACAATAACATAGCCCTAAGTTGTGATTAGTGAAATTTTGCTATGTGAGATAAAATCTCCTTGGACCACAATTTAACATTGTTCTAAATTTTGATTTTAGATATGATTGTCTGAATTGTCATGCAGAGGGAATGCCATGTGCTGCCCAAAGGGAGTGCAGTCTAAGAACTTCAATGGGTAGATGTCTGTCTCTGGGAAAAGTTGAGAGGATGATCTCGTGTAGTCAAAAGTAGGATCCTCTTGACTCAATTTCTCATTATGCTATTTCCTTTCTGAACAGGAAAATTTCCCACCTGGTTAATTCTGAGCCTTATTATGATGTGAATAATTTGGAACTTTTCTGTGTGATTGGCCGTTAACTATGACTCTTGCCTGGAATTAAACATAGCTAAGGGAGTTTCCTTCGTCTTATGGCTTGTGTCAGATCAATCTGTGCCCTTGAGAGGACAGTCTTGATATCATTATAACCATATTCCTCCTTTTCCCTTTCATAGCAAAGGGCCAGTCAACAATGGAAATTTTGTCATTTAAATACTAAATCTATTAATTACTAGATTGATACTAAAACATCTGAGTTACTATAATAGGATGCAAGTAGAAAAAAAATCTTACTATTTTAATCTAAAGTTGTGGTCAATTCCACATTCTAAGCAACTAAGTAAATGGAGCTTGCCATCTATTTGCTAATAGTTATATGTTAGTGTAAAACATTAGGTCCTTAAAGTACCTCATTCATTTAAGATGATATGAGGAATATATACATATATATGTGTGTGTACGTGTGTGTATAATATTGCTATTATATATGTATATATGTATATATCCTAAAAGGGGGGGAAGATGAGGATGTAAAAGTTTTAAAATTTAATGTAGTAAACTGAGAAAACAACAAGATTAGACTATTAGAAATTTAAGGACTAGAATATGTATGTGTGTGTGTGTGTGTGTGTGTATAAACATATATAGACATATTCTATATCTATATATATGTTCAATTTGCTTCCAAATGTGCCTAACGGGAAATACAGGTTTCAGTATGTTTTAGAAATAAGTTCCCAAATTGGATTAAGGCTTTTATATAAAATTACGTTAATAATTGTAAGAATTTTAAATCATGTCCCCTTTTTTTTTTCCTAACCTGATAATATTAAGGGATGGGAGGGCTCATTTTCCAAGTCAGACCTTGTTCCTTCAGCCTGTGGATGACACTGTCCATATCAGATATAGGGTTTGGATAAAGATAAAAAGAGCAAGTGATATGTAAAAACTGAAATTCTCTGAAGTTTCAGATGAATTATGGGTTCCTGATTTGTTATTGTTATAGCTCTATTGCTGATAGGGTTAGATCCGTAAGATTTGAGTTAGTTTTTACCATATGAACTAGTTAATGAAAAACAAATTTATAAAGTTGTAATAAATTGTATTGAGTCTTGTTACTGGCAGATTTTAGCAGAATTACCTAGGAATCTCTGCAAGTGATTTGTAACCAGAAAAGCAGATTTACTAGGAGGAGCTCCTTTACAGCTGCCCTGAGAATGAGGCCTATTCCAGAATGTACAACGGATGTTTCTAGGGACCCAATAACTATATTGGATATTTGGGACTCAGGATGAAACGTGCTGGTTAAATGAACAATGGGAGTGAATTACCAGATTATGAGGAGACCTGATGATCATTATTGCATTACTTAGGCTTTTTTGTTTATTTGTTTTATGGTGTTTATGTTTATTGAGTTTTCTTGGTGGCCTTGGTGATACGTAAACCTCCCCTCTCAAATAGTACAACCCTCTAAGTGGTTTAATCTGTAACCTGACTTAACTTACCTGTGTTGTTGTTGTTTAATCATTTTTCAGTCATGTCTGATTCTTTTTTTTTTTTTGGCAAAGATATGGAATGGTTTGCCATTTCCTTCTCCAGCTCATTTTACAGATGAGGAAACTGAGGCAAACAGGGTTAAGTGACTTGCCCAGGGTCACACAGCTAGTAAGTGTCTGAGCCTGAATTTAAACTCAGGTCCTCCTGACTCCAGGCTCAGCCCTCTATTCACTGCACACCTAGCTGCTCTCAGTTTCCCTATAGAGCCTATTTAATAAGGTTTATCTCCTTAAGGGATACATGAGATTATAACTCAGCTTAACTAAATTTGTTTAACTTTTATGACATTGAAGGAAGCATAGGATTATGACTTTTGTATGATTTTGTAATATTCACAGCCACAGTACACTTGTTTCCTGTAGCAAGTTTAATATAGACACTTACAGACCGTAAAACTTACTCAGATAGGTTTGGCACAAACGACAGAGATTAGGATGATGCAATTGAGCATAGAAGAGCTATATAGGTCTGATTGTGGGGCTGCACCATGAGCATGGCTAGTATCAAAGAGGGGATTATATAAAGTCAGCCATTGGAGCAGAGTCGGTCTGAGTGACCCCCACAGTTTAACCTTGCATAGCCTTTGGGTATGGCGCTCAGCCACCCTGTAGGAGAGGGCTCAGTCCCCTTAGGACTAATCCCATCTCCTGTAGACTAACCCCATCTCCTGTAGACTAACCCCATCACCTGAAGGCTAATCCTATCTCCCAGTAACGCTGTGATGGGGAGAAGTAGGGAGACACTATTCCTACCTCCTCACTGAAAGGTCTACCAATCTGGATTGTTTTTCCCTCAAGTGTAAATTGTTTTACTCCTAATAAAAGCAGCTTGAAGTTGGAATTTGGCAGTAGCCCCACTCCAACTGCTTGATGCTTTGGGGTGCCAATAAATTCCTTTTGTCTTATTTCCTGAGTTTGCCTTTAATTCATCAGGGCGAGGCCCGAACCAAGATTTTCTTTTAATAACAACATGGGACCACCTCCATTCCACCCAGAGGAGGTCTAGCAGTGTTCAGTCTGTAATGGGGTAACTCATCCTAACTCAGGACTAGCACTGAGGCTGTTTCAATGACAGTGATCACCTTGGGGGACCTTGGGCTTCCCCCCTCATGCCAGATAAGAAGACTGGCAGTGCTGGCATTGCTGCCTTCCTGTAAGGGAAGAACACCACAGTTAGCCTTAGAGGGCCTGGGTCTGAGCCTCAGGTCTAACATTTATTAACTGTTAGGAGCCTGGGCAAGTCACTTTACTTTCCCTGGCCTCGGTTTCCTCCTCTTTGAAATGGGATTAGATGACTCTACTTTGCTGTACTTTGCTGCTCTAAATGTTGGTATTTCAAGTCTAGAGTGAAGCCAGAACTTTCAGACTATTGGTATATTTCAAGTGGCCCAGAGCTCACATAGATTGAGTCTAGTATCAGGGGCTTAATCCAAAAGGGTCATCTTTTCTTTGGCTCCTGGGTGTGAGCAGTGAGTCAGTCTTTGAGATTAGAGCTGGTCTCCATGAGTGCAGGGCTTTGGGCCCTGGAATATGGAGAAAAGAAGAAAGGATTGCATTCAACCTGAACCTTTGCAAAAAGCTCTCTTTCCCCTTCCCAGCCAGCCAAGGACATAGCTTCTGAACACATGGCTTTGGAAGTAGAGATAGGAGGACCCTTAGGGATCAACTAGTCTAAACTCTTCATTTCACAGAAAAGGAAACTGAGGTCTAGAAAGAATTGATTTGTCCACTCAAGCAGTAAGTAGCAGAACCAGAATTGGAGCACAGATCCTTTGGGAAAGATCCTACTTTAGGAAAGTGACTTCTCTCTGGACCTTAGTTCCTTCATTTGTTTAAAAAAAAAGTGGGGTATGGGGGAGGATTGGATTAGGTAAAGTCTTTTCCAGCTCTAAATCCTGTTAAATGCTTTAATTAGTCTTTTGACTCCAAATCTAGTACTCTTTCCATTATAACTGCCTGCCTCCTGAGAGAGTGGGAGTGGAATGGGGAGGGCACAGCTGCCACTGGATCGGGCATCTCTGAACAAGAGGGGGCCACACAGACACATCTGGAAGCTGGGTGATGGTGTCTCCCAGGGCTTGTGGCAGGGGATGCCTAGGGACAGGTCAGACCACATCGAGAGTTTTGTGTTTGGGTGTGGTCACCACATGTTAGTGAGAATGGTGACAAACTGGGGCAAATCCAAAGAAGAGCAATCAGGATGGTGAGAGGGCTGGATGCCATCTGGGGATTGGTGGAAAGAAGTGGGGATATTTATTTAGCCTTTGGAAAGAAAAGAAAAGAGAGGGCCATGAGAGCTGTCCTCACGAATTTGAAAGATTGGGCGCCGGAGGGCAGGACAAAGAGCAGTGGGGGAGGAGTGGAGAGAGAAGTTTCAGAGAAGCAGATTTTTGCTCGAAGAAAGGAAAAGACTTCCTAATAATTAGAACTGAGCCCAAATGGAATGGCTTGCCTTGGAAGGTAGGGAGTTTCTTATGCAAGGTCTTCAAGCATAGCCTATTTGTCAGGGATGCTGGGGCTGGGGGGGGGGGAGAGATAGGGGGGAGGGAGGGCCTTGCTTAGAGTTAGATTGAATTAAGTCCTCTGAGGTCTCTATCAGCTCTTAGCATGATTCCCCTTCCCTGGCCCCCTGAGCTGGAGTCCCATTGCTGCAGGAAGCTAAGGAGAGCTCCTGGCTCGGCAGCTTCAGTCAGCCACAGTCATTTTGAGCTCCTTCTTCTATTCTTGGGTTCAGGGTTCAGTGACCAGAGATGAGAATCAAGGGCCAGAGTCTCAGGGTTGGGGGGGGTAGACTTCCTATTGTCTGCTGGAGTGTAGGGGGAGGCAGAGAGGGAGGGTGCGGAGGCCACCAATGATGGGGCTGGATTTCTGACTATGACTGAAGATGACCAGATGCTTAGACACTGGGATAGGAGGAGACAGTCCTGGTCAGAGATCAGAGGCCAGCATGCACAAATGCTCAGCAGTCTGTCCTCCCTAACTATAGGTTTTACCTGATAAGATGTGTCCATGTCTCTGAGAGGGGATCCAGGTGTCCTAAGGTCCCCAGCAGGGATCTCCCAGAATCCTTCTTGCTCCCTTCGGAATCATAGGACTTGGGTTTGAATTCCAGCTCTGCCATTTACTAGCTATGTGACCTTGGGTAAGTCATTCTCCCTTTCTAGCCTTTAGTTTTCTCAACTGTAAGATGGCAGGGGGAAGGATTAGCAGATCTCACAGAATTAAGAATTTGAGAGTTAGAAGGAATCTCAGTGGACATCTAGTGCAATCCCTAGATTTAGATTTGGAATTCCCTTCCAGCTCATGAAAACCCAGAGAAGAGGGAATATCCAGAAGGACAGGGTGGTCAAGAGTGTGCAATACTGCTAAGAGGCCAAGAAAAATGAGAGAGAAAAAGCCACGGGTTTAGCAATTCATAGATCATTGGTGACCATTGAGAGAGCAATTTCCATCAAGTTGATGGGGTTGGAAGCGAACTTGCAAAAGGATGAGAACTGTTGGTTGTGTTGTATAGGGGATTCTTTGAAGGGCATGGAACATACCAGATGCCCTCTGATGCCCCTTCTAGCTTAGAGAGTCTGGGATTTTTTAAATACCAGATCATGAGTTACATGAAGGCAGGACTTTAGATCTCTCCCCAAAGTAGCTGGAAAGAGCTGGAAAGGACCTTAGCAATTATCTAATCTAACCCTTCCATTGGAGGCAAGGAGACCTTGTGACATGAGGCAGAGGTTTTCCCCATCCCTGGGCCCAGCAAAGAGTATAGGAGTCATTGTAAAGCCTTGCGGAATTGGTGCTGTCCGTCCACCCCCTTCTCCTCTCGAGGCTGGTTCCCCTCCTTGGCTAGAAGCAGATCCAGCTCCTGTCCCCTGGCTCCCACCCTGTCTGGCCTCTGTTCTCCTTCCCTCATAAGGCTGCCTGACTGCTCTGGATCTCTCACCAGGTGAGTTCAGGACAAAAGAATCAAAAACATATGATTACATTTCGGGGGGGGGGGGAAGAATTCCAGGAAAAGGAGCTGAAAGTCAGGGGGGTAGGAGCAGGGTGGCATCCAGAAAGGAAACTGGGCTTGGAGTCGAGCTCAAATCTTGGCTCTGTTATTTACAATCTGTGTCCCCTCGGTCAAGGACATCCCCTTCTCCTGACCTCACCTTCCTCATCCATAAAAGGAGAGGAGGGACTAGATCACCTCTAAGGTTCCTTCCAGTTCCTCGTCCTGTGATCCAGAGGAGGCAGATACAGAGCCAGGGAAAGACTCAGGAGCCTGGGAGTTTTGTCATAGGTCCTCATCAGCTTGTGCTGTTCTCCCCCTAACTCTATCAGAGTAGTATACACATATAGTAGGAGCTTAAATGCTTGTTGAGTGAGTGAATGAATGAATGAATGAATGAGAATGAAAGCTGCTTCCTGGCCTCACCTGGGCTATGCAGAAGAAGGGGCAGGTGCTCTCTGCAGCCATTCTAAACCAGCTCAGTAGATGGGATACTTGGTGGGAACAAGGGGCCCAGGCAAGGGGCAGGAGAGAGAGAGAGAGAGAGAGAGAGAGAGAGAGAGAGAGAGAGAGAGAGAGAGAGAGAGAGAGAGAGAGAGAGAGAGAGAGGGAGGGAGGGAGGGAGAGAGAGAGAGAGAGAGAGAGAGAGAGAGAGAGAGAGAGAGAGAGAGAGAGAGAAGCTGGCTGAGCTCCCTGTCCCAGGATATTGCTCAACATCCACTTCTGTGGACGAATGTTGGGCACTTCAGGGCTGAAAAGGATCTTATCCCAGAGGTCAGCCAGCCTTGCCAAGTCTGTTCAAGGGGGGCTTAATAGTGAAGGGGGTTCAAGTGGGAGGAAGCAAGGCCATCTCCCAATAGGAAGGAAGCCTAGACTAGTCTAAGCTCCCCCCTCCCTATGCCTCACTTCTCCTAACCCTATGCTTTGTCCTCATACCCTCACCTTCCCTTCTAGCACCACCCCTCAGTACTTTCCCAGGCCATCACCCTAGCTCTGGTTCCGGTTTCCTCTCTCCCCAATCTTAACCCTGTAGTTAACCACTCTCACATGTTTAGCTCTCTTGTCCTATTGCCACTTGGGCCTTCCTAAACCCCAGCCCTAGATTGAACCCATGACCTACTCTTCCATGCAGTTGAATGAAAGAAGAGGGAATTACTTAACCCTGCTCACTGGGTCTATTAGCAATGTATGCTATCCATTCTTTTTTTGTTGTTTTTGTTTCTTTTTTTATACATATGTAAATTTATTTATTTTTAGTTTTCAACATTCACTTCCACAAGTTTTTGAGTTCCAAATTTTTACCCCATCTCCCCTCTCCTCCCACCCCAAGATGTCATGCATTCTGAATATCCCTTCCCCTACTCTGTCCTCTCTTCTATCTCTCTCCCCTTCTCTTATCCCCTTCCCCTTCTATTTTCCTGTGGGGCAGGATAGACTTCTGTACCCCATTTCCTATATTTATTTCCCAGTAGCATGTGAAAACATTTTTTTAAACATATGTTTTTAAAACTTTAGGTTTCAAATTTTCTCTCTTCCTCCCTCCCCACCCACCCTCATTGAAAAGGCAAGCAACTCAATATAAGTTGTACATGTGCAGTTATGCAAAACACATCCATAGTAGACATGTTGTGAAAACTAACTCTATTTCCCTTAATCCTATCCTGCCCTCCCATTTATTCTATTCTTTCTTTTGACCCTGTTCCTCCTCAGAAGTATTTACTTCTGATTAACCCCTTTCCCAATCTGCCCTCCTCTCTATCATACCCCTCCTCTCTTGTCCCCTTCCTCCCCTATTTTCCTGTAGGGTAAGACAGATTTCCATACCCAATTGAATGTGTATGTTATTCTCTCCTTAAGCCAAATCCTATGAGAATAAGATTCACTCATTCCATCTCACCTTCCCCCGTTTCCCCTCCCACTGTAAGAGACTTTTCCAGTTTTTTGTGTGTGAGATAATTTACCCCATTCTACCTCTCCCTTTCTTCTTCTCTGAGTAAAATCCTCTCTCATCCCTTAATTTTATTCTCCAGATATGACCCCTTAATCTCCATATGCTATCCATTCTTAATGAGCCCTCGTTGCCAAATGAAATACTTCTACTTCCCTGATGAATTCAGGAATTCGTAATCCCTACAGAATCATGGAATTGGAAATCATGTAGAATTAGAAGGGACCTCAGAGGTCACTGGGTTCAACCTCTATTCTTATAAGAATTACTTCTACAACACACCTGATGATTGCCCAACCTTGGTTTGAAGACCTCTCCAAAAAAATTGTATTGACGTCTTTTGTTTTTATATCACCAAAGTATATGTTTGCTGAGAAAGAGAGGGCCTATTTATTGCCTCTTGAGGCAGCCCGTGGCACTTTGGGAGAACTCTAATGGTTGTCCTTATCTTTCAGTCATGTTTGACACTTTGTGACCCTATTAGGGGGTTTTCTTGGCAAAGATATTGGAGTGGATTGCCATTTCCTCCTCCAGCTTACTTTATAGATGAGGAAACTGAGGCAAACAGGATGAAATGACTTGCCCAGGATCACACAGCTAGTAAATGTCTAAAGCTGGATTTGAACTCAGTAAGATGAGTCTTGCTGATTCCAGGCCCAGCGCTCTATGTCCTATGGAGCCAACCAGTTCCCCCCACTAATGGTTAGGAAGGGTTTTATTACATCTATTACATTTATTACATTTATTTTCATCTTTGCAACTTCTACCCATTACCTCTAGTTTAGTGCCACTGAACAAATATTTATTACGTGACTTCCATGTACAAGGCAGTAGGGATTCAAAGACAAAAAAGAAAAATAAACTAGGCCTGCCCTCAAAGAGTTTGCATTCCTTCAGGAAAACCAATGTGTACCATATAAATAAACAGAAAATATAGGGGGTAGGGACTGAACTTGTCACTTCAGTGGGTTAGGGAACTCCCAGGTAAGGAAACTCTTTCTATCAGGGCAGGTTGGCACCTTCTCTTCAACTTAGTCTTACAGAGTTGCCTAGGTCATAGAAAAGTTAAATGACTGACCCACAGTCACAAAGACAGTATATGCCAGAGTTAGGACTGGAACACAGGTCTTCCTGGCTCTGAGGACAGTTGTCTATCTAATTTGCCATGGATGCTTGTGAAAAGAAAACAGAAATACAAGATAATTTGGAGGAGAAGACACACGAGGAGCTGGGGGAATGAGGAAGGGACTTCTAGAGAGTGCAGTGCTTGAGCCTGAGCTATAAAGGAAGTTGGGGGTTCTAAGAGGCAGAGGTGAGGAGGGGGCACATTCCAGAGGGGGGCAGGAGGGGACAGCAATGTAAAGTCATTGAGGTAGGAGCTGGAATGTAGTGTAAGAGGAACTGGCAAATGGGCCAGTTTGTAATGTCTTATGTACACAGATAAGTAAATATGTGGTAATTTGAGGAGGAAAAGGGCAATTTCAAATGGAGAAGGAGGAGAATCAGCAGATCCGGAGCTAGGAATTCTAGTACCTGGAGCAACTTCAGTTGAGTTATGGGGGAGGTGGTGGTGACAGGGGTATGGGGGGAGCATCTGAGGTGTGACTATTTCTATGCATGGTTGGGGTAGATTGGAGATGAGGGTCATGGGAGTTGAGGAAACTGAATAAGTTGGGAGGCCAATGAAAGGGGGGGCTGGAGTGCAGAAGAAGATCATGAGCTAAGTACTGAACCCATTAGGGAGGAGAGAGAATGGTCTGGAAGTCCACAGATGATAGCATCATGGCTCTGGAAAGGATGGAGTGAATTTTAAAAGGGGAAGTGATGGTTGCCAAGTGGTGGTGGCAGAGAGACTGAAAGTGGCAGTAGGGACTGAGGAGTAGGCCAGCACCTCCTCTTGGCTCTGTGTGTCAGGGGTGTGGCAGAAGGGGTCTTGGAGAGGACACTGAGATATGTGTTTTTAGGATAAAGCTAGATTGGAGAGAAAGAGAGAGAAAAGGAGAGAGAGAAGAGAGAGCATGCTAGCTAATATTTATTTATATAGTCCTTACCATGTGCCAGCCTTTTACAGTTATTATACACCAGAAGACAGGAAGCAATGTAAGAAAAAGAGACATAAGGACATAGGATTATTAACTGATAATCCTGTAGGTGTGAAGGAACCTTAGAGTTTAGTCTAATCCTGGGGCAGCTAAGTGGTGAGTGCCAGGCCTGGAGTCAGGAAGATCTTGGTTCAAATCTGACTTCAGACACTTGCTAGCTTTGTGATCTTGGACAAGTCACTTTACCCTGTTTGCCTCAGTTTTCTCATCCGTCAAATGAACTGGAGAAGGAAATGGCAAACCACTCCAGGATCTCTGCCAAGAAAACCCCAACCCCAAATGGGATCAGGCAGAGCTGGAACTGAATAATAACAACAGTCTAATCCTATCATTTTACAGATCAGCAAACAGAAGTGCAGAGAGGTGGAGAGGGCTTGCCTCAGGTTACATAGATATTAAGTGGCAAAGAAGACAGAATTCAAACTCAGGTCCTCTGATTCTAAATGATAATAGTAGTAGCAGTAGTGGTGGTAGTAGTAGCTAGCATTTATATAAGGTTTACAAAGTAACATGCTTCTATATTTAATCCTCACAACAATTTTGGGAGGTACATCCTATTATTATCCCCACTTTCCAGATGGGGAAACTGAGGGTGAGAGAGATTGAGCAACTTGCCCAATGTCACAGAGCTAGTAAGTATATGAGGCCAGATGTGAGCTCGTTTTGCTGATTGCCCATCCTGAGCTCTGCCCACTCTGCCACCTGGTTTCTCTAACCCAGTGATCTAGCTGCTCCATTTCGACAGAAGGAGGCTTGTAGAGTGGGCAGTATAAAAGGAGAGCCGACAAGTGCCATACACTTGGGTTAAGTTTAATGTGGGTACTGGTTGCAGTGACCAATGAAGTCACCTTGGTCAGTGAGTCACTTTGGCTGCTGATCTCGTACCAATCAATCTCTGGCTC